TATTATTCTGGAAGAAGAAATACATGCTTCTCTGATAACCTTGGTTAAAAAAAAGAAATGGATGAGATACCACTGAGATATATTAACAAATGAATGCAACACTGAAAGTGCTCATTTATCCATACCAAAAAATTTGGAGGACAACTGCCAAGCCAAATGACTGAAAGAGATCATTCTCTGTGCCCATTAAAAAAAATGTGATCCAATAGAATGCAGAAGTCAAAAGTATCATTACTATTAAACAGTGTTTTAATTTTCTAGTTCTGCTATAGCAGACACACAAGTGAATGGCTTTAACCTCCATTCTGTTAAAAACCAGAAATTTGTTGTCTTTACATATTAGAAGGCTAGGTTCAGGTTCAGGACACCAACTTTTAGGGAAAGCCCTGTCTCTCTGTGAGTTCTGGAGAAAAGTCCTTCTATCCTTCAGCATCTGTAAGCCTGGTGTGCTGGGAGAACTCCATGAATTATGTCCTTCCCTGGTGTTAAAGAGCTTCAGAATGCAGAGGTCTAGATCTAAAGGAAACAAAACACTCCCCTTCTGTGGTAGATACTTTTATTTGTACTGAGCCCCCAACCTCATTCTTAGCTTGCTTCCTCCCACCCCCCACCATTTCATCTCTACTGAGAAAAAGGATATTACTGGCCATCCTCACAGGGAATTTCTGATAATCTGATTAGGATTATGATTAGGGAGTGTTGCATTCTATCCTTAATTGTCCTAAACCATTTGATATTTCAAGATTTTGGAGGATCATTATTACAAAACTTGCACATTTTATCATTGTATACATGTGTTTTGGGGAGGACACAATTCAATCCATGACAACAAGTAAACTTTTGCTAAAGATAATTCAAGAGTCAGTACAGTAGTACTTATTGTTAACCTGTTGCTTTTGAATCTGTTCTAATTCATGGAGACCCGGAAGGGTCAGAATTGTGCCCATAGGGTTTTCAATGACTCATTTTCCAGCCAAGCCTTTCTGCCAAGGTACCTCTGAATGGACTCAAACTTCCAACCTCTTGGTTAGCAGCCAAGTATGTTAACTGTTTGCACCAGTCAAATAAAAACCCACTGCCGCGGAGTCATCCTAACTCATAGTTAGTAACCCTGTAGGACTGAACAAAACTACCCATACAACTTCCAAGGCTGTAGATCTTTACAGGAGCAGACTGCCACATCTCTCTCATTAGGAGCAGCTGGTGGCTTTTAACTTGCCAGCCTTTCGTTGATGGTCAAGTGTCGTAATCATTGCACCACCGAGGTTACATCTATACCTCCATCCCCACCCCCAGGGGCTTCTTACTTACTTACTCAGTCACAATTGACCTATGAGATGTAACTCCTTTTCTGTCCATGTGTTAAATATTTTTTTAAATTACTCATACCATTCCTGAATCTAACAAGATTCTAATAGGAGTATAATACAACACTGAAATCAGGATCAAAGAACAAGGATGGATAAGGAAGAAAAGTGTATCTAGAAATAGACTTAAGGAAGCTACTGCAAAGAGGCAAAAAGCTTTGCTCACTGTTTCTCAATAACTACACTGAAAAGGGGGGGAGGAAATGGTTTACAAAACTTGAATAAATCCCGCTCATTCTTTAGGAAATACAAAATTTTCCTGACTTTGAACTCGAGGAGGCAATTCTAGCACAGGTAATAAATAAGCTAATTCTAGCATAGATTCTAAATAATTATAGATTTTAAATAAAGTAAATCACAAATTTTAAAAGCATTGTCTTCACAAAAAAAAAAAGGAAATGAGACTGTTAATGAAAATTGTCTGGGGCGCTTAATAAAAAGTGCTGATTCCTGGCCCTCACCTCCTCCCCATCCCATGCACCCACCCACCACCTCCACCCCCTCTTGCCAGGAGCATGGCACTGAAGAAAAGGAAGGCTGAACCTGGGAGCTAGTGATTACCTGTCTCAAAACCCTCTTCATCATCATCTCATTAGTCTTCTAGATATAAAGTTCGGGGAAGGTTCTAAAACAGATTTAGAAAAATTTATTTAACATCAAACAGTACATAGCTGATACTTTTGCGCTCAAGCCTTTCTTATCCCAAAGTTCTTCCTACTGTCTTGTTACCCAAGGAGAGGACCTGGAACAAGGGGACTCTTAGATGCCATCTCCTAAACACTCTATGAAATAATTTTTTTTTATGTCAATTCCTGATCCTCACTCAAAACTCACTGAATGTATGGGAAATAGGCTTGAAGATCTACAGCTCAACAAGGTCAATAATTGATTCTTCTTTAGTCTCTTATTTGAGAACACCTTGTTCTGCGTGGTATTTGTAGATGAAAGTAGCTTTATGCAATGACCTTTCTCAAATATACTTACACCTTCTCAGGAACAATGCTTACACTAGAGGAATCTCCAGTGAAGGAACCTCAGGCTTCAGAGTCTAGCAAGGGAGTGACTTAGAGGTTGTGGAGGCTCCCCAGCCGCTACAGGAAGGAAGCAGGGCTTTCTGCATGCACTTGGGCTTAGAGGGAGCTATCCTCTGGGATTTCAGATGACCATAGGCCACAGAGAGGACAAGTTCAATCTCAGGCCCAGGATCTATCATCTACAGTACATAAGAAACAACAGCCTACACTAAGAGACATGGGCTCAACTGACCACCAAGCCCAGATCTCTTGCACCCTCTGTTCCCAGCCCTCTAACTGTTATGGAGCAGAAAGAACTCCAAGCCCAGAAATACATGAACCAGACTGGTGGCAAATGCCCCAGGTATTTGACACATGCTACCCTCAACCCGGCCCATTACCCTGAGTCTCTGCAGCCCACCCTACCCCCAGCACAGGCCAGGATCTGCAAAGGACCTGGCTAAGGGGGCTTATCTTGTGTTCTCTCCCTACAGGTTTGGAATAAATTGCCTCATCCAGTTTGAAGATTTTGCCAATGCCAACGCCTTCCGCCTGCTTAACAAATACCGCAAAAAGTACTGCATGTTCAATGACGACATCCAGGGTAAGCTCTGCCTCTACCTGACAGAGCCACTAGGGACTAAAGCCTTTTCAGCAGGCTCACCTGAATACCAAGAAGGGGGTGGTGTCACCAGAGAGCTGGTATGCTGGCAGCTGCTGTTAGAAAACTCATTGAGCCTGGTTTCTGCTCCCATTTCACTTGAGCAAGTCTCTTAAAACTTAAATCTCATTGTTCACATCTGTGAAATGAAGATTATCATTACTTCATAAGTAGGTAAGAATTATGCAATTCTAAATAATGTGGTAAATTACTATCTAGTTGAACATGTTTCTTAAAAGCTCATATTCATCAGAACTGACTCGTAGCTGATCCTTCATTGGGTTTCTAAGACTGAAGATTGCCCATTTTTCTCCCTCAGAGTTGCTGGTGAATTCAATCCACCAACTCCCTACAAGACTGCATCACCAGAGCTCCATCTATAGGGGATAAGAGAACTCAAAGGCAGATACTGATTTATTGCTTGAAATCTTGCTTTACAGGATTAATAGGTTTAGGGCTGAATACTTGCTATACAGTAGACACTATACTCACATAATCCCACTAACAATCCTATGAGATATTATCATTTTTGTCTAATAGAAGAATTGAGGCCCAGAAAGATTAAGCAGTAAGTAGAGAGTTGAGATTTGAACTCTAAATCCCTGTACTATATACTATAGAGTATTCTATATAGTGTTCTATAGTATCATTATACTATTACTAGACCTTGTATTACAAAACCAAATGCCACAGGGAGCTCTGGTGGCCTAGTGGCAAGAAGCTGCACTGCAATCCCAAAGGCTTGTGGTTCAAATCCACCAGAGATGCTCCTCTGGAGGAGAGTCAAATTTCCTCCTGTACCAGTTGGATCCAATTAGATGGTACACAACAAGGGGGAGGGGGAGGGAAATAAACTCCTTAAAAAAAGCCCTCCAAATCATAGACTATAAAAAATGTGATAAATTGGTTTTTATAATTGTCATATATTCTCAAAAGGCATGCTATCAATTATTATATATTACTAAGTAACTCATAATCTATATTTATAGGCTAGAAATTATTTTCTTAATTATAATTTATACTTATGTTGCTGTTAAATACAGTCAAGTCAAGCATAACTGATAGCAACCCAATGAACAAATGCCTGAACCCTGTTCTATAACTATTGTCATTTCCAGAGGCATGTTGTGTAGGAAGTAGATGCCACTCTTGCTTCCAAGCCTGTCTTAATCTGGGAACTCCACCCAACACTGTCCACCATGGACAACCATTATGGCATTTGATACACCAGTGGCACAACGTTCTGTATCACAGCAACCCTAAGTTAGCTCAGTACGGTGAATTGACGACCAGCTCTGTACCACTTAGAAGAATGTTCATTAAAACACAATTAACACCAATTAACACCCGACCTTCAACCAAAACAAGAAGAACTCACCTTTCAGAATCCAACAGCTTCACACATGAGCCTCCAAATTTCTTTCTCTCTCTCGCTCTTTCTCTCTCTCTCTCCCTCCCTAGAGATAGAGATATAGAGAGACATGCTATAATAAATTATTTTCTACAGTTTTCTGTACATTTTTTAAGAGGCAGGATGTCACAGTTATACTTTATTTCTAGATAATTAATATAAAACAATACAACATTAGTACTTGAAGACTTGGTGGCCACAAAGAAGAGACCAGAAAGGGAGAGCTGGGTGTGGCAGCTGCCTATCTTGCACCATCTTGTCCCTCCTGACTGATGGATGGGCCTGCGACATGCATTTAATGGGCTAGGCCAGCCTCACTCGGACCAGCTGGGCACCTCTGCATATAGGGCTCTGCTGTCCAGGAAGCACTGGCTGGAAGGAATAAGGCATTCACTCACCATCTGCCAGCTACCTCACTGTCGGCCTGGCAGCCCTGGTGCTCCTCTGGCCCTGGAGGAAACATCTGCCAGCTGGCTTCTAACCACCCAGCCCCATCATGGAACTCAGCCATGATTTAGCAGCAGGACACCTCTCCAGGGCCCACTGTGCTGCCAAGGCCAGAGGCTGGAAGTGGAAAACAAGCCCAAGTGGGCTGCACACCTGGTGCGCAAACACCAGATATGCAGATTTCCATACAGCCATGTATGTGTGCATGCATCCTGATAAACATGCACACTGGAACACATCCGAGCCCAGAAACCCATTACGCCAGACTCTGCTGCCAGGTGATCCTCTACAATGAAAATATGACTGAACTATCCCCCGTTTAAAGAAAACTCATGCTCCTTAATGAGACCGTTTACTTACACTCTTCAGTGAAAGGATAAGGCTTTGCAGATCTTCTTGCTTATTCTGTCTCCTTCTCCAGCACATCTCAGTATCTATCTGCCCACTCGACTCGACTCTTCACTTTTACATTTCTGACCCCTTATCCTTAATCTTTCAATGTGAAATTCCCATTCCTCTGGTTAGGACAGATTCTCCCATTATCTTGCTCTAAATAACTTCTATTCACCTTGCAAGACTTAGCTCAAAGGTCTCTTGCCCTGGGAAAGATTCCACATAAGCTCCTACTTTTCCAGTCTTCTCTCTGAGGTCCCACAAGCTCACATGCCCTCTTTGGCTCACTTCTCTCAGGAATCTTCCTACATTGCGCTCCAAATGCATGTCTGAATTATCTGTTCTCCACATGCTAACAAACTTCTATAAGCAGAGACGTTGTCTTACCTGTTCTAGTACAGTGTCTGATATTATAAATGCTTAAATATGTGAAAAATGAATAGTAAACACACACACATTTACACCCTCATGAATACACTCACCAATTCATGTGTGTTTACACTATACACCTGCTTCTGTAGACCTTCTGCCCGAGTTATCCTACACACACTTACATGTGAGTGCACACTACATGTGCAAATGCTCAGACCTATGTGGTTGTTCGTGTGTACAGCATTATTCATACATGTAGCTTCATCTTCATTAATTCAATTAATTTCTCTAAATGCTTAAATAAAATGGGCTTTCCTATGCCCTATCTATTGCAACTACTGTCAAGTCTATTTTTCTCCTATTAAGGGTCAGCTAGGATAGTTTTTTGCATCCTACATCAGATAGAAGGGACATTACCCATTCTTTTCCAAGAAATTCAAGCCTAAAATAAATTACAATTTATGAAGAAGGCTGGCAAACAGCACTGGAATGGCCAACGCCCATACTACCCACCCTTTGGTCAACACAGCCTTCCATGTAGGTGTGACCCTATAGTTAACACAGCAGAAAGGTGGGCATGTAGATGCACTGCTCTAATCTCCTTCCAGGAAAGACTTGCTGCCTCAGCTGCCTGGAGGGCTGCCAGCTTTAAGTAGTGTTTCGATTCCAGAGAGCTGCCTTGGTCACAGTCCTGACTTTCCAGGGATAGTCCACACCCACTGATGAGGGCATATAATGATCCTGCCACATCAGCCCAGTGACAAACAACTCTGGTACATTTTCACTCCAGAGCTCTCCTTAGGGTGCTTCAGGCTTTGGGGCCAGCAAAGCAGCTCACCTTATACCTTTGCCCAGCCTTTGTTCTGTGTTCTGCCCCAACTGCACATGCTGGTGCCAAGAACACCCCTTAATAACATTTTGAATATTCAGTAAGATCTTAGAATCTGTTTTCCCAGTAATGCGCCTCATCTCATCCCTCACAGGGTAGACATTTCTGCTCCCATGTCACCGATGAGGACACTGGGACGCAGAAGGTTTATTTTGCTCAAGAACACAATCAGACAAGCACAGAGCTGGGATTAGAATCCAGATTTTTTGCACATAGTATTTTCAGGCTTGAAGCATTGACTGCGGAAAATCAAAGACTACAACCGTAAGTGTGGATTGCATCTAAACATCAAGAAAAATAAAACTTTCCACAATTGAGGCAGTAGAACGAGTGCTCTTGGTGAGGATTAAATTTTAAACCTCATCAAAGTGTGGCTTTCAAGTCTCTGAGCATCCCGCTGCTCTCTGCTCTACTCCTCATCTTTCCCATGCCTTCACCTGACTCCTCTCCCATCACTTCCTCTAACTCCTACAGTTCACCGCCCAGAGATGAGGTCCGGAGCGGGAAAGGAACTTGCACATAGCCACAAGCTAAGTAGTGATTGGCCCAGGCCCAGAAGCTTGTATTATTTATTCTTACTGCTATTAGAACACAGGTGAGGAATTCTAGGACTTCTGGATCACTGAGGAAGATTAGACCTACACTGGAATTGTCCTCCTTTGCCTCCATATACAAAGAGAAATCAAACATAAAAATATAT